CTGGAGGGGGGCACGGGAGCACAAGAGAAAGCCAGCCTGACCCTAAAGGATCTCTGACCATTTTCCATTGTGGTGACAGAACTGTTTAGGTCTGCAAGGATGAGAAGTCACAAGCGCCATGCTCGGCCCGTGGGAGCCATTGTCCAATTGGTATTGAGGCCACACAGCGCTGCAGTAAAAGATGAGACACTTAGGTCGTATATCTGGCCTAAGGCCCAAGGGACCAAGGTTTGAGAGAAGGCATCTGTTGCGAGCGTGATAGATAAACTTCAGTCAGAAGTTGGCTCTCAGAGAGAATTTTTATTCCTATATTGGTCACACACACACTTAAGTTCATATAGGCAAGCCAACCCCAGGTTCCCAAAGTACCTTTGACTGAAGACAGTCACTGTGACTTGTCTTAGCCGGGCCTTCCACCTAGGTGGATGTTCTCTGGCTGTGGAAGTCTCTAGGCTCAAGAGCCCGCAGAGCAGAAGGTCACACAGGGTGTTGAGCTGATAGGCCGCTTGTGCCGCTGTCAGGGAGCAGGCCGTCAGGGAACCTTCGAAATTCATCCTGGGGGTGCAGCCCCCATCCCCCTATATAAGCGTGCTGCTGGGGCAGGGCAGCTGCCTTGGGAGCTTTGGAACTGGGTCCACCACAGGGAATAGGAGGTCTGAACCCTCCTCCTTATTGTGGCAACTGAGTCGCCTTCAGGAAGGCTCAGGTTGTCTGATGGCTTTGGAAAGCCTGAAGGTCTAAGCCACACCCTCGGCCCACAGCCAACTTGCAACCAGGCAAGTCACAGAGTGCCTTGCCCTACGTGCCCAGTATTGCTGTGCCCGCCAGCACAGGGCCAACCAGCCCCTGTGCCCCAGGTGAAGCACCGTAGCCTGCCGGCAGGCCCTTGGACCTGGGCCTGTCGCTCCTTAGGGTCACCTCCCCTTTTCAGCCAGGGGACCTCAGTGTCTGCTCACCCGGGCAAGTCAGCTTCTCTAAGTTCTGCCCTAGCTGGGCAGTAAAACTCGCCCCATGGACCTGCCTGCCCCCCCATCCCTACACTGATGCTTGCTCTTCTGCTTTTCCACACCAGGAAGGGCCCAGCCTCACCTACTCAACCTGAGGTCCCCCGGCCAGCTGAGGCTCCCCTCTTAGACTTATAAGCCTGTGGCCACTGGCATCCGGCCTCCTGTCCTCCCTGCCTCCCCAGGGTCCGTATGGAGGACCCCTGGGCTTTCTGCCCACCCCAGGGGGCCCCCAGTGCTCCCTCCAGCCATCCTCTCAGCTCTGCCCTCCCGGGGCAAACGGTGGTATTCTGCCTGTCTTTCTCCATCAGGAATGGTGGTGTCGCTTCTACTCCTGACACTAAGAGTGACGCCGGGCCGGTGGGTTGAAAGACAGGAGAGCAGAGAGGAGGGAGCCGGAGGGGGCCGATCACATGTCTGGCCCACGGGTGCACTGTCTGGTGTGTGTGAGAGGCCGGCGAGCGTGCAGGGAGAGGCTCCAGCTCCTGCATCCCCCTCCCTGACCCCTCCCCTCTCATCCAGAACCCCTGCCCACACCCTCCCCTGCTTCGTCTTCCCTCCCCACCTCCCCTCAGCGCTGAAGCCCAGGCTACACCTGCCTTCCCAGCTCTCCCCCTTCTCTCCCCTCCCCCGATTTCTCTCTGCTTCTCTCCAGCTGCCAGCTGATCGGGTCAGGCAAGTCCATCCTGTCCTGAGATCCCCGGGGTCCCCTTCGGCCTCTAACCAGACCCCTCCTCTTCCTGGGACACCTCTCTTCCCAGGCCTGCCTGGGTGGCTGTTCTGTGACTTGGCCCCCAGCCCCCAATCCTCCCCCTTCATCTGTGACTTTAGTGGTGGTGAGCTGACACCCCAGGCGTGACCTCAGTGACTCTTGTGCCCCCTCGGTGGTATTGCTCCTGCCCTGCTCTATACATGTCTATAAATACACACGCACACACACGTACACGCGCGCATCTCTGGTGCTGGGAACCGCCGGCTGTGCTGTCCTTCTGAGTTTTGCGGCCCAGCTACAAGCAAACGCTGTCACCCCAGCCGCCCCCGCCAACACGTGCCACCTCCGATGAGCCTCCCTGCCATTCCCGGCCTGTGCCCATTCAGCCCCCCTGCCACCTTCCTGCCCCTTCCCCGAGCATGGGGGTGCTGTCCCGGCAGCTGTGTGCTTCTGGCCGCGACCAGTCCTGCTGTCTCTTGGCTGAGAATGAAACCCATTTCTGAACAATGGGGAGCAACGTGTTGTGTGCTGGTTGTGTTCTGTGGCGTTCAGGGGGAGGGGAAGTCTTAAGCATGGGGGACGCAGGGGTGCCTGGGATGTCCCAGTCCTTCCTGGGCTGCCCTGGAAAGCACCTGGATGTTAGCTGGTCTTCATCTGGACCCTACTGTGGCCACCAGGAGTAGAGTGCAAGCCTGGAAGACTCATGGGGCCTGGGTGGGGGCCCCAGAGGAACAGGGTGAGAGGAGAAATGCCTAGGCTGGAAGCCAGTAGTCTGGGGTGCTGGCACCCTGCTTTCCTTCCACAGAAGTAGACCAGGTTTCCCAGTCTTGGTCATCAGAGCAGGACCTGGCCCTCCTGGGGTGGCACGCAGTGGGTGGCACCTGTAGGGCCTGAGAGCTGAGCGGGTTGGATGCCCTGACAGGCCGCCGCAGTGCGCAACTCACACCCCAAAGCCTGCCCTCTGCTGGCAGGACCCACACCCAGAGCAGCACCTGAGCCCAGATCCCAGGGCCCGACCACGTGGTGAGTTCGGTTTATTCAGAAACAAAAGTGAAACACCAGGAACCACACCCTGTCCTTGCCTCCTTCCTCTGTCCTGGGCGATCTATAAATAAGTTTCCTCGATGTCAACTGATTCATAGAAACCTCCTCTCCCAGGGGCCACCGCAGCCTCCGCTGTGATACAGGTGCCGTCTCAGCCCCATGTACACACGGCACAGCACAGTATGTACACCGCGGGGCGCCTGCGCATGTTCCGCCTGGCCTCCACCAGCCACCCTGGCCCGGCTTCTGGCCAAGCCCAGTTTTCCACAGGGTTGGAGGAGTAAGTGTGTACCCCCAAATTGCCTGAGTAAGCCATGCATCTCTTCTATGGGGACCTTTTATTAAAGAAGCAGTGAAGGCCACCTCTGTGCAAATCCAGGGTGGCCTCCAAGATAATCAGGCACAGAGGCCCACGGGACTTTCGTAAAGACAGCAAGTGGAGGCCACCCCTTTGTGGACTGCGGTGGCCTCATACCTGCGGGACATTTGAGAGGAGGGAAGGGGAGGCCACCCTTTTGCGGATCGGGGTAGCCTCATGACCGCGGGACTTTTGTGAGGGGGCACACGGGGGAAGCCACCCCTTTGTGCATTGGGGTGGCCTCATGCCCACGGGTCTTTTGGGAGGGGGGACAGGGTATGCCACCCTTTTGAGAATTGGGTTGGCCTCATGCCCGCGGGTCTTTTGTGAGGGGCGGGACGGGAGAGGCCACTCCTCTGTGGATTGGGGTGGCCTCATGCCCATGGGCCTTTTGTGAGGGGGGAAGGAGGAGGCCACCCCTTTACACATTGGGGTGGCCTCATGCCCGCGGGCCTTTTGTGAGCCGGGACAGGGGAGGACACCCCTTTGAGGATTGTGGTGCCCTCATGCCCGCGGGACTTTTGTGAGGGGGACAGGGTAACCTCAAGCTGTAAGACTTGTGTAGTGAGCAGAGCTCCCCCCCTTAACAGGTGGGTGCCCACAAAATAATCGGGCACACATTCCCATGGGGACTTTTGCTAGGTAGTAGGAGAGGCCTCCCCTCTGCAGATAGGGATCACCTCCAAAATAATTGGGTGCAACAAAAAGTAAAAAGAAAAAAATAAATAAAAATCAAAACAATTATTGAGTCCAACAAAAAATTAAAAAAAAAATTGGGTGTAAAGGGCTGTGGGGAAATTTCAAAAGGGAGTAGGGGAGGCCACCCCTTTGTGGATCTGGGTGGTCTCAGATAAACCACTGCTATCTCTTGGCTACACTCTAGACAGGTGTAGGTGCCCACCTGCACCAGCGGTATCTCTGTCTGGACTTAGGCCCCATTTCGGGCCTTCAAAATGCTGCCCCACTCCACATGGTTGGGGTAGCATGGGGGGGCACGTGGCCCCAAATTGCCTGATATAACCTAGGCCCTCTGCAGGAAGGCCTTTTAAGGATTCATTTGGTCATCAAGGAGCCCCTATGTTGTAGAAGGGAGCCCCCTAAATAACTAGTTGGATGTTTCTAGCTCCTTGTCTCTGGAAGTATGAATAGCCCAGAGATTAAGACACAGCCCTGACCTAAGAGGCTAGGGTCTGCACCTGTTTCCCCCTATTAGATAGGGGAGTTGTCATACCCCCTTTTTTTTCCTTTAAATAATAATTTTTTATTTTTATATTCCCCATACAATTGCAACCCCCCCATTCTGACACCAATCCCTCCCCTCCGCCCCCCACCCCCTAAAAAGTGTCTCTGGTTCATAGTTTTTTGTTGATTTTGATTTTCACTTTCTTACAGTTATTCATTTTCCTGGTCCCTTATTTAAGTTTTCTAGATTCCTGCTATGAGTGAGACCATCCGGTATTTTTCTTTTTCTTTTTGGCTTATTTCGCTGAGCATGATCCCTTCCAGCGCCATCCATGTTGCTGCAAATTGCATGTGTTTATCTTTTTGGAATGCTGAGTAATATTCCATGGTGTATCTGTACCACATCTTCTTGATCCAGTCATCTACTTTTGGGCATTTGGGCTGTTTCCAAAGCTTAGCTATTGTAAACAGTGCTGCTATAAACATAGGGCTGCGGGTGTTCTTTGGAATGGATGTTTCTGTGTCCTTTGGGTAAATACCTAGGAGTGGAATTGCTGGATCATATGGAAGCTCTATGTTTAGTAGGTCCAGAAATCTCCACACAGCTCTCCATAGTGGTTGGACCAGTTTGCACTCCCACCAACAGTGCAGGAGAGTTCCTTTTTCTCCACACCCTCGCCAACATTTGTTGTTGCTAGTTTTTTTAATATGTGCCATTCTCACTGGTGTGAGATGGTATCTCATGGTAGTTTTGATTTGCATTTCCCTGATGACAAGTGATGTTGAACATTTTTTCATATGCCTGTTGGCCATTTGCATTTCCTCTTCAGAGAAGTTTCTTCTTAGCTCTTCTGCCCATTTTTGGACTGGATTATTTTCTTTGTTGTTGTTGAGTCTCATCAGCTCTTTGCAGATTTTTGTGATCAGTCCTTTATCATTAGTGTTGGTGTTGTACCCCTTTTTTAAGCCAAGGCATAAAATGATGACTGGGAAGGAGAGCCAAAGGACAGGGGGGGAAAGCCTGGGGAACAGGGATGGGTTGGTGAGGGCCAGGTGGGGGCCGAGCCCCCGGCCCATGCTGGTGGCCTAGACCACCATTATCTTCACCTTGTTGTCATCAGCCTGGTAGAAGAACGGAATGCATGGGCTGTTTCCAATGGTGACTCCTTCCTGGGGGTTCTGCATTTCTTGAAGCAGCTGAATGATCTGCTGCACAGAGGTGTTCTTGAAGGGAGTCAGGCCCAGCTGAGGCTCGCCCTGGGTCGGCTGCAAGTCGTAGATGAGGCTCACCTCACTCCGTGCTTTAGAGAGACAGAGACAGGATGCTGTGTGCCTGGCGGAGTGTGCTCCTCCTGCCTAGATGCCCGTGTGGGGCTTTCCTCACCTTGGCCGCTGGCAGCGCCAAGCTCCTTGGGGGCTACGCATGCGCTAGTGGGCTCAGCAGCAGGGTTCTGGGAAGGTGCTTGGAGCTTCACCTGCCATTCGTTGTGCACCTGCACCAGCCACAAAACCAGCTCTTGCAGCTCTAACAGCTTCACCTGGAAGCAGAGACACTCAGAAACCCATCCCGCCCCCACCTGCTCCACCATGGAGCCAGAGCTCTGAACTACCTTCATCTCCTCTTTTTTCTGGGCCAGCTGCCTTATGGACTCCTCCTTCTCTCGGTGCTCCTTCCTCATCACTGCTTTCTGGGTCTGGTAGAGAGCGATGTATTGTCCTAGGGGGAGGGTGCGTAAACAGCTCAGCTGCTGGGGTCTCCCTAGCCTCTTCATAACACCCCAGCTGCAGGGCACAGACCTCCCCACTCACCGATGGTGTCAGTCTCTCCAGACATCTAGATACATCGATGCTTCAGCTCCTCCATCCAGTCCTGTAAGTCCACTTTCTCCTGCATGAGCTCGGTAAAGTGACCCTGCAGCCAGATAGTGGGCTCAGGGACTCAGCAGTGCTGGCCTGCCCAGCACCCAGCCCGCCCAGCCCTCCGGTGAACCACACTGTAGGGTAAGAAAAAACTATCAGGTTTTCTGCCCTCCCACTATTTGGATAGAAGACGGAACCCTGTGGTCTGAATGCAAGCCTGACGCAGGCACCTGGAATAGGGTGTGGGCATAGGTAGATGGGATTCACCTGGGCTAAGACTGGGCTTTTTAAGGGCGGTGTCACGGGGATGCCAGCAGCAGCAGAGAAGCAGAAGCAGAACCGAGACAGCAGAGCAGCAGAGACCACCAGAGAACACCGGAGAGCCCAGAAAGAGTGAAGACTTGCTGGGGGCTGGGAGGCCTGTCAGCCTCCCAGCCCCCCAGCACCCCTACTTGCCATGTACCTGGTAAATCCCAATAAAAACCTGCAAAAGCCACTTGTCCCGACCTGCGGGATTCGGAGGCACGAAAAGAGAAGGGCTGAGGATTGAAATGAGGGGCTTGACAAATTGACGCTAGCATTTGCTTCTTTATTTTTCCTTTTTCCTTTTCCTACTTTTACATGTTTTTTCCTTTCCCTGTCCTACTACCTTCCCTGGCTTTCTCTATGCTCCCCTCTCAGTACGTTTCTCAGTCTCCTCTCTCAAAGTCTCTACACAGTATCCTTCCCACAGTCTCCCTCTCGAGGTCTCCTCGCCTCATCCTCTACGCAGTCTCTCTCCTTCTCCTCCACGCAGTCTCTCCAGTCTCTCCCGTGGTTCCCTTCTTATCCCCCCTCGCTCCTCTCCTCGTACCTCCCAGTCCCACGTGATTTTTCGGAAGCGCAGTGGTTTCTCCGAAGGCGAAACAGAAACCGAAACTTAACTTGCGAGCATGCGCAACACGGCGCATGCTCCATGCGGCTCCGGACAGTCACTGAGGCTTCCAGGACTCTCTTCTCCTGGACCCGGTCTGCTGGATCAGAAAACCTGCCCCGTGTCCATTCCTTTCTGCCTTACAATTGGCGTAAGTCGGCAAGGTGATCCATGCAGACGGTATGGAGCCCTCCGAAGACTGGGAGGGACTGAGGAGCAGCAGACTGTGTGTTCCTGTGACAGCGCTGGACGTGTCATGGCAGCACAGGAGATGGAAAAGGTCCGGAAGCTGCGGGATGAGACCTCGCCTAGAGAGGACCAGCCAATGATCCCCAAGGCAGCAAGAATCGTCGGGGAAGAAAGGACCACGATTCAGAGCTCCCTAGTGTGGACAATTGGAAAAGCCGATAAACTTGGACTAATGGACTAACAATCCCGCCAGAAGGCGGAGGACCTTGGCAAGTTTGATATGTTTTGGGGGACCTGGGGGAGGATGGGATTGTACACTCCCAGAGATGGGAATCTGGGGGTGGCCAGTGGGCCTTGGTGGCCAAAAGCAGCCAGTGTATTGCCCAGCATCCAGGCAGAGGAGAAAAAGCCAAGTGAGAAGGCAAAAGCTGGTGCTAAGTTCAGGAAGCCCTGAGTGGCTGTTAAGCACTGCGTAAGCTAAAGAAGGCCAGTGAGTCTCTTAAAATCACCTGTGGGTGTTGCCCTGTTCATTGCTGAGTGAGGGTGAGGAGCTGAGGAGCCCGTCCTTGGGGGACGGGCGGGGAACGTGGCTTGCGGTGGAGCCCACAGCCAAAGAGGGGACCCAAGAGAGGCCGCATGTGGAGCTTGCATCCACGGATCCCCGACCCATGTGCTTGTGCAGTGGGCTGGCCTGAGTGCAGGGGCCTGCGTGTCGCATTGGTGGCTATGAAAGCCGAGTGTTGGAGTGACTGCAGACAGAAACCCTGAGGGTTGGGTGATTACCCCCAAAGAGTACAGAATCGCCAACCCAAGAGTGAGTGCATCCTGGGGGTGGATGCGGTGTGTGGCTTGTGGCCGAAACCCCAGCTGGAGGGGGCCGGGAGGCCTGAGGGCTCCTGGCGTGTGAAGGCAGATGCCTGAGTGGTTCCCTCCCTCGCATAGCAGTGCCTTCGGCAGCTGAAGTGGTGGATCATGTACTGGTGCCAATAGTCTTTTGCCACTAGGTCGGTGCCCTGCCTGGACTTATTTGTGTTCTGTTATATTACATTGTGATATATTTCATTTGCTTTTGTGGGCCATGGCTGCATTGTTCATATTCGCCAAGAGAAACATGTGTGTAACTCATATAGACTGTCTGGCAGGTAAAAGTATCAGGCTTTTCTGCCCTCCTGCCATTAGGATGGATGACGGAACCCTGTGGTCCCGAAGGCATGCCTGATGCAGACACTTGGAGTAGGGTGTGGGTATAGGTAGATGGGATTCACCTGGGATAAGACTGGGCTTTTATTTATTTATTTTTTTAAATGAACTTTGTGAAGTCAGTCTCTCTCTCTTTTAAAGATTTATTTATTTATTCATACAAACACTGGGTATAGTCAGAAGCGTGGGAGGGTGAGAGAATTCACCAGAGCCAGAGCGGGGAGCAGAGCAGCAGAAGGACTGAAGTACACTGCTGAGGGGAGCAGTGGGCGGCAGGAGAGGTCTGTGCACCATGCGGAACCCTCCTCCGGTGGCCGGGGAGCAGCTGGGGATCAAACTGGCACTGTGGAGGCTGCGGGCAGCTTCGCAACCCAGTGCTCAACCGCTGTGCCACCGGGGAGGCCCAAGACTGGGCTTTTAAGGGCGGCGTCACGGGGACTCCAGCAGCAGCAGAGAAGCAGAAGCAGAACCGAGACAGCAGAGCAGCAGAGACCACCAGAGAACGCCGGAGAGCCCAGAAAGAGTGAAGACTTGCTGGGGGCTGGGAGGCCTGTCTGCCTCCTGACCCCCCAGCACCCTGCCTGCCATGTACCCGGTAAATCCCAGTAAAAGTCTGCAAAAGTCACTGAGGCTTCCAGGACTCACTTCTCCTGTACCTGGTCTGCTGGATCAGAAAACCTGCCCTGGGGCCATTCCTTCCTGCCTTACACACACTCACCTGCAGTTTCTCCATGGCTCCCTGAAGGGCTTGGTGGGTCTCCCCAGGCACACTCTCCCCCCAGGGTGGCGGGGGAGAGATCTTCATCTTCTTGGGCTCCTGGTCCCATGGGGCTGTCTGCTGAGCCAGGAACTGGCAGAGCAGCTTTTGCTCCTTGAGCCGCCCGCATAGCTGTGCCGCTCTTCCTCAGCACTGGCCAAGGCTGAGTTACAAAATGCCATCTGTGGGCCAGAGGAGCAGGGTGTCCCTGAGGGTCGGGCAGGGGGCTGGGAGGCACACCTCTCAGGGCCTCTGTGGGCACACCTGAGATTCAAGGATGGTGTTGGTGTCTGCCCACTGGTCCCCAGCAGAGGTGGGGGGAAGCTTAATCAAAGGGAGGGAAACCAAAGAGAAGGGTGGGGGGGGGAAGGTGGGGCAGGGAAGGGGCTCTGGGGCCGAGCTCACCGTGGCCTCGCGGCTGTCTAGGTCGTCAGGGATGCTTAGCTTTGGCAGGGGACCCTTGTTCTCCTCTTCCTCCTCCTCACTGCTCAGTCCATTTACTGTTGGGGGGCAGCCAGAGGGGCTCAAAGAACACCTGGGTTCTGAAGCATCCCTGAAAGCCAGCAAGCTCTGCTCCCTCCTCTCTGTGCAACCCTGCGCCAGCAAGTCCCCAAAGGAGAAGGATCCAAGTTGTCCTAAGGGTGGCTTCCACTCTTGCAAACCCCTCCTCTGCTGAAGTCCCACTCACTTTCTCCAGTCCGAGCCAGGAGGTTCAGTGGGGCCGGCAGGAAAGAGTGAGAAGGGATGCTGCTTGCAGGTCTTCCTGCTCGGCGGCCACAGGGTGTCTGGCACTCCAACTGCCCCACCTGTGTTTCCAGCAGCTCTTGGCGGGCCAACTCGACCTCCATCTTGCCCTGCTCTTCTTCATGCTGCATCCAGTTGACAAGCTGGGTGTTAAGCAGCACCTGCTTCTGCAGGATGTCCTTCTCATTGGCCAGCTGCTGGTAGGCGGCCATGAGCTGCTGGTAGGCGGCCATGTACTGCTGAAGGTGACTAAAGTACTGGTCCCGCTGCTGCTGCAGCTCCTGAGCCTCTTGATATTTCTCCTCCACCTGCAGGGAAGATGCGGGGGGTGAGGGCAGGTGGCAGTTGGCCTCCAAACTGTCACTGGAACCCAGCTGCCTCTGCTAGACGCTACCTTGGGGAGACCAGTAGTGACCATCACTACTGACCAGTGCTGCTCAGCACTCCTACTTGTACTTCTGGTGGACAGTACCTGGCTGAGGTAGACACCACTTGTGGCTACAGTAAGCTCTGTTTCGCGTTTGTAAAATAAACCCCAAGGTGGTTGTTTCCAGAGGCTGAAGTCTCTTGCAATTGTGCACACAGTTGAGAACCACAGTGATGAGTCCCCTACCGGGCACTATCCTTCCATCGGCTCTAACCTGTAGGCCCCTATCGTATGGGGTCTGTATTGCTCCAGGCTTTGGTTTTGACTTTGGGTCTTTTTGGCAGCTCTCTTGTCTTAGAGCCTGGGCAGGTGGGTGCCACTGCGGCCTATCCTGGCATCCCATTCATGCCCAGTGACTACCCTTTTTAGTTGGGATCCCAGCTGATGTCAGAGACACAAAGTGTTAAAAAAGTTCTTTGTGAGTTGCTAGACAACACCAACAACAAATAGCTCAACAACCGGATCCTTTGGTGCTCCTTTCAGGTGATGTCAGACACAGGACTGGAGGCCCAGTCTCTGACAGAGGTCTTCATCCTCTCTTCCTCCCACAGAGGTTGGCTACTGGATGCTGCTTTTCTTCTTTTAGCTTTTGGCCCTCCTTTCTTCAGAGGCCAGGAACAGAGTCTTCCCCTTCTTTCTTTGGAGGTTGGAACAGAGCCCCTAAGCCCCCTCTAACTCTGGCTTATATCACTCTTCAGGGTGTCCCAACATCATGTCTGGTTGGACCATTTTTCTTTTTTTGTGCAGAAGAACTGGGGTATTGGCCAGAGGTGTAGAGTGAGCAGAACAGGCAGATTGACTGAAACACACTGCTGAGGGGAGCAGCTGGCAAGGCAGGAGAGGTCTGCTGTGCCCTGTGGGTCAGATCCCAGAAAGGGATCAAACTCAGGCAGTAGTGATGATGGGTGCCAAGACTTAACCCGTAGGCCACCAGGGAGGCCCTGGACCATTTTCATCCTTGGCTGACTGGACCACTTAGCACCAATCAGCTCATAGCTTCCACATGATTGGTCCTGAACATAACCCAGGAAGCATGCAGAAAAGGGCAGCTCTTAGGAGTAACTGCCTCAACGGACTTGTGGTGGAGCAACAGAGTGGAAACAACTGAGGCACCCCCAGATCAAATGGGGGGGGACAGGCACTGTGGGACTTTGCCACCTGCCCAGGCCCCTTCCTTCAGCTGCAGCAGAACTGCTTTCTAGTGCTCTCTGAAGTGAAGGATGCTGAGGCCCAGCCCTGTTCAGTGAACACAACCCCGGAGCCAAGTCTGGAACCAGGATGTCTCCACATTGCCTCGTCTCCCCACTAGTGGCTCAACTTCCAGTAGGGCAGGTGATCTGCAGTCCCGGGGAACCCACCACTCCCTGTCAGACCCTGGGCACAGGTGGTCACGGACCTGGCAGGACTGCAGGGTCACCGGTGCCCCCCAGCCCTGAGTTGGAGCTACCTATGTCCTGGCCTAAGGACCTCCCTCCCAGAGGCCTCCGAGCCCTTCCCAGCTGGCACAGGACTTACCAGCTCCTTTAGCTCTGTCAGCTTCTCCTGCAGCTGACCGAGTTTCGTGGCCAGCTCGCTGTTGGTGTGCTGCTCCATTTGGAGCGAGCCGGTCACCTCCATGTTCTGATGGGACTGGACAGACAGAAGAAACAATGAGATGCCACCCAATGCAGTTGGAGACCCAGAGCTCGGTGTCCCCTCCCACATCGGGACGAGGTCATCTTCTAGCCCAGGGCACCCCAGGCACCTTACCTTCTTGCCAAGTGCTCTCTGGGCTCCGGATCCTGATCATCTCCCGCACCCACCCTCTGCCTGGGACTCCCATGTCCCCCGCTCTCCACGGGGATGAACACTGCCCACCTCTACAGATCAGTCTCAAAGGCCACCCCTCCAGCCTCCAGACCTTTCAGAGCCAACTGCTCCCTCAGTTGCCACATCCCACCTTGCCTCCTAGCAAAGTGTCTGCTGCCAAGGACCCATGGGAGATGGATAAGTGTCCAGTTGATTGCTTCCCCCCATCCCTTCAGTTTGAGTCTCCACAGAATTTCCTTCCCCAAGGCACCTGTGCACCATCACCACAGTCCCCTGTGCACCTCCCTCCTTCCCTCTGATGCCTCTTCCTCCTCCTCTCCTGCAGTATGTCTCTGATTTATAATTGTCTGTTTTTGTTTTGTTGTCTTTTGTATTGCTATTATTTTTTTTACACTGATGTCTTATTAGGCTCCCCTATATTCCTGTTATAAGTAAAACCATCCTATATTTTTCTTTTTCCTTCTGTCTTATTTCACTGAGCATAATTCCTTCTAGCTCCATCCACATTGTTGCAAATGGCATGAGTTTATCTTTTTTTGATTGCTGAATAATATTCTATTTTGTATATATACCACATCTTGATCCAGTCATCTGTTTTTGGGCATTTGGGTTGTTTCTGGTTTTACCCATTGTAAATAGTGCTGCAATAAACATAGGTGTACAGGTGTTCTTTTGAATCAATGTTTTTGTTTCCTTTGGGTAGATTCCCTGGTAGTGGAATTTCCGGGTTGTATGGTAGCTCCATTTTTAGTAGACTGAGGAAACTCCAGACAGCTTTCCATAGTGGTTGGACCAGTTTGCACTCCCACCAGCATAGTAGTTCCCTTTTTACTACATCCTCACCAACAGATGTTGTTGCTTGTTTTTTTGATATGTGCCATTCTTACTGGTGTAAGGTGGTATGTCATTGTGGTTTTGATTTGCATTTCCTTGATTATAAGGGATGTTGAACGTTTTTTTCGTGTGCCTGTTGGCCATTTGCATTTCCTCTTTGCAGAAATGTCTTTTAAGTTCTTCTGTTTCTTGACTGGATTGTTTATTTTGTTTTTGTTGAGCTGTGTGAGTTCTTTGTATAAATTTGTGATCAGTCCCTTATCAGTTGAATGGAGTGAAAAGATGTTTTCCCAATCACTGGGGTGTCTCCCTATTTTGGTTAATGTCTCTTTGGCTGTACAGAAGCTTTTCACTTTGATGTAATCCCAGGTTTATCTTTGTTTTCACTATCACTGCTTTGAGTGATGAGTCTTCAAAGATATTTCTGAGATGTATGTCTTGCAGTGTTTTACCTATATTTTCTTCTATATATTTTATGATTTCAGATCTTATGTCCAGTTCTTTTATCCATTTTGAGTTGATTTTTGTGCAGAGTGAGAGCTAGTGGTATAGTTTCATTTTTTTACATGTGGAGGTCCAGTTTTCCCAGCACCATTTATTGAACAAACTGTCCATGTTCCATTGCATATTCTTTGCTCCTTTGTCAAAGATTAGTTGTTCATGAAAGTGTGGCTTTATTTCTGGGCTCTCTATTCGGTTCCATTGGTCTGTGTGTCTGTTTTTGTTCCAATACCAAATTGTTTTAATTATTATGGCTTTGTGGTATAGCTTGAAGTTTGGAAGGGTGATACCTCCTTTCTCCTTTGTTTTCATCAGTAGGGCTTTGGCTATTCGAGGTTTTTTGTGGTTCCATATAAATTTCATCAGTATTTGTTCTATTTCTTTGAAGAATGTCATTGAGATTTTTGTTGGAATAGCATGGAATCTTTATATTGCTTTTGGGATGATGGCCATTTTAATAATGTTAATTCTTCCAATCCCTGAGCAGAGACTGTCTTTCCATTTCTTTGTATCTTCTTCAATTTCTTTTAACAGCGTTTTATAATTTTCTTTGTATAGGGCTTTCACCTCTTTTGTTAGGTTTATTCCCAAGTATTTGATTTTTTTTTTGTTTCAGTTATAAAAGGGATGGTGTTCTTGATTTCTTCTTCAGATTGATTGTGTATAGGAAGGATACTGATGTTTGTGTTGATTTTGTATCCTGCTACTTTACTGAACTGGTTGATTATATTAAGTAGTTTTTCTGTGGAGTTTTTAGGGTTCTCTATGTATACTATCATATTGTCTGCAAATAGTGATAGTTTTACTTCTTCTTTCCCTATTTGGATTTCCTTGTATCTCTTTCTCTTGTCTTATTGCCCTGGCTAGGACCTCCAGTATTATATTGAAGAGCAGTGGTGAGAGAGGACATCCTTGTCTTGTTTCTGATCTTAAAGGAAAGGCCTTCAGCTTTTCGCCATTGAGAATAATATTGACAGTGGGTTTGTTGTATATGGCTTTTATCATGTTAAGGTATGTTCCTTCTATCCCAAGAATTTCAGGGGCCTTCATCATAAATGGATGTTGGACTTTGTCAAATGCTTTCTCAGCATCTATTGATATGATCATACGGTTTTTATTTTTCTTTTTCTTGATATGTTGGATTACACTTAACAATTTTCATATGTTGAACCATCCTTGTGTCCCTGGGATGAATCCCACTTGATTGTGGTGTATAATTTCTTTGATGCATTGTGGATTCTGTTGGCAAGAATTTTCTTTTTTTGTGCTGTCTTTGTTTGGTTTTGGTATTATTGTAATGTTGGCTTTGTAGAACGTGTTTGGTAGTATTCCTTCTTTTTCAATTTCTTGAAAGAGTTTGTGTAAGATAGGTACTAATTCACTGCTGATTTTTTGGTGGAATTCATTTGTGAAACCGTCTGGGCCTGGGCTTTTGTTTTGGGGGAGTGCTTTGATCACTGCCTCAATTTCACTGCTTGTAATTGGTCTGTTTATTTGTTCTATTTCTTCTTTGTCCAGCTCTGGATGATTATATCATTCAAGGAATTTGTCCATCTCTTCTAGGTTGTTGAATTTGTTTGCATATAAGTGTTCACTGTAATCTCTGATTATTCTTTTGATTTCTACTGAGTCTGTTGTGATTTCTCCTCTTTCATTTATAATCATATTTATATGTGTTTTGACCATTTTTATTTTGGGAGCCTGGCTAGAGGTTTGTCTATTTTATTTTTTCAAAGAACCAACTTTAGATTTCATTTTAATTTCCAATTTGTTTATTTCTGCTTTGATTTTTATTATTTCCTTTCTTCTACTGGCTTTAGGGTTTTTTTGTTGTTCTTTTTCTAGCTCTTTAAGATGTGAGATTAAGTTGTTTCTTTGAATTTTCTTGTTTCTTGATGTGAGCCTGGATTGCTATATATTTTCCTCTTATTACTGCTTTTGCTGCATCCCATACATTCTGAAAAGTGATGTCCTCCTTGTCGTTCCACTCAAAGTATTTTTTAATTTCTTCTTTGATCCCCTCATTAGTCCATACTATTAGCCAATAGTATGGATTTCAAACTCCATGAAGTGGGAGTGTTCCTTGTTTTCTTTTCATGATTTATTTCTAGATTGACGCCTTTATGATCAGAGAAGATAGTTGGAATGATTTTGATCTTCATGTATCTGTAGATGTTTGTCTTGTGGCCCAGTATGATCAATTCTGGAGAATGTTACATGCACACTTGAGAAAAATGTGTACTCAGATTTCTTTGGGTGCAGTGTCCTATAAGTGTCAGTCAAGTCCATGAGTTCTATGTCTTTATTTAGGGTTATAGTCTTTGTTTTTGTCTCATTGATCTGTCCATTGGTGAGAGTGAGGTGTTGAAGTATCCCACTATATATGTATTTTCTTTCATGTCTGTTTTCAGAACTGATAATAATTGTCTAATATATTTTGGTGCCCCTTCATTTGGTGAGTATATGTTGATGAGTGTTATATCTTCCTGATGTATTGTCCCCTTGATCATAATGTAGTGTCTGTCTATGTATCTTTTTACCTTTTTTAATTTGAAGTCTATTTCAACTGATATAAGTATGGCTGTTCCTGCCTTCTTTTTTGTTCCATTTGCTTGTAGGATTGTTTTCCAATCTTTTACTTTCAGTCTATGTTTATCTTTTGTGGTAAAATGTGTTTCCTGGAGACAGCAGAAGGTTGGATTTTTTTTTTAATCCAGCCTGCTACTCTCTCTTTTTATTGATGAGTTTAATCCATTTACATTTAGAGTTAATATTGATATGTTGGCACCTCTATTTTCCATTTTGTTTGTCTTTTTTGTGATTTTATTCCTGGCTTTGTTTTGTTCTTCTTGTTCATTCCTCTGTTGGTTTTGGCTTTAGGACTTGTAGAATTTTTTTGGAGTGGGGGTTTAGTTGTAATGAATTTCTGGAGTTTCTGTTTGTCTGAGAAGGCCCACATTTTTTCTTTGTAGAGGAAGGAGCTTTGCTGGGTAAAGTATTCTTGGTTGGCATTTGCTGTGTTGAAGTTTGCTGAATATGTTACTCTATTCTCTTCTTGTCCGTAATGTTTCTTTGGGGAAGTCTGAAGTTAACCTGATTGGTTTTCCCTTTAAAGTTATCTTTTTCTTCCCCTTGCCTGTTTTATTATTTTTTCCTTGTCTTGGACTCTTGCAAGCTTTACTATTTGGTGTCTTGCTGTAGTTTTCTTTTCATTGTGGTAATTGGGAGTTCTTCTCGCTTCTTGTATGTCTATGTTCATCTCCTTTTTCATACTTGGGAAGTTTTCTTCAATTGTCTCCTTGAATAATTTCTCTGTTCCTTTGTCTCCTCACCTTCTGGAATGCCTATAACTCTTATGTTTTCTCTCTTCATGGAGTCTGATAATTGTCTAAGAGTATCTTCATACTTCTTTATTTTCTCTTCTATCTCTTTTCTTTTGACTCTTTTTATTTCTGTACCTTCGATAGTACTGATCCATTTTTCCATTTCATCAATTCTGTTTTCATTGCTTTTCCCAGAGTTCTTTATCTCCTCTAGTAATCTTTTAATCTCCTGTGTTTCTTTTCTTTCCTTTCTTAAGGTCTCAATTTTATTCTTCAGTGATTATTTGTCTCAAATCATTTTTTCC